GTGGCCGCGGGGCCGCCACCCCTTCAGGCAAGGCGGGGGGGGCCTTCGCCCACCCTCTGGGGTGCAGGCGACCAAACCTCTGCCCCGTCGCCACCAGGGGTGTCCAGCCCGCCAGAAACCCCAGGTCAGGTGCCCATCTGTGGGGGGGATGCCACAGTCCCGTCTGTGTCTCGGGCCGTGCAGCCACCAAGGTGCGAAGCCCTGCAGCAGGTCGGTCCGCGTCAGCCGCGCGCGTTGTCGCTGCCTGATGGCTCTCTGGGCTGTTGGCCACTCGGCGGCTGGGTTTGGAGCTGCGTGGAGGAATGAGGCTCGAGGCCCGAGGAAGGATGGCTGGGAAGAGGGGTAGACTCCCAAAAGGAAGGCTCCTTGTTTGTTTTGAGAGACATGTTCATCTTGTGCTCGCGGCTTTGTTTTCAGGCATCAGGAGGTGCTGGGAATCACGGGCAGCTGGTACAGGTGACCATTCATGCCCGACAGCCCCGAAAGCGCGTCCTGCCCCAGTCAAGAAGAGCAGGATCAGCCAGATCAGGGAGCAGCTGCTGGCAGATGGCCGTGGAGATCATCAGCCATGCAGGCTGTGCCATGCCTTCCCGGGAGAGTCTGGAGCACAGTGTGATGCTGGATAGCTCTACAGAGCGTGGCCAAAGCAGGGCAGAGCTTGGGAGGGTCCTTGCTGACCTGGCAGCAGTGGCAGAAGTCAGTAGCCTTGGCCCTGTGCTGAGAGACCACAAGCCCATGGAAGGCCCTGGTGCCTGCGCCATGGCCTTGATCTGCGGGGACTGCGGCAAGAGCTTTGCCAGGAAGTCGGACTTCAAAGTGCACCAGCGAATCCACACGGGGGAGAGGCCCTACACATGCTCCTACTGCAGCAAGGGCTTCTACCAGGCCTCCATGGTTCGGCGGCACGAGCGCACACACACCGGCGAGAAGCCATACCGCTGCTCCGTGTGTGACAAGTCTTTTGCCCGCTCCACCTCGCTGCTGATCCACCAGAATACACACACTGGCGACCGGCCGTACGAGTGCCCCTTCTGTGAGAAGACCTTCTCCGACCCCTCCACCCTTCTCCAGCACCGCAAGATGCATATGGGCCTCAAGCCCTTCCACTGCGGGATCTGCAACAAGTCCTTCAGCCAGTCGTCCAGCTTCACCTTCCACCGGGCCACACACACCAATGATCGCCCTTTCATCTGTGCTGATTGTGGCAAGGCCTTCATCCGCTCCACAGCCTTGCTTAAGCACCGCCAGACCCATGTCCAGAAGTCTTTTCGCTGTGGAGAGTGCAGCAAGGTCTTCCCAAAGCTCTCAGGCCTCCGCTCGCACCAGCGTATGCATGCCCAAGGCCGACGGATAGAGATGGAGCTGAGGGAGCACAAGCGGGGGTGCTGGGAGGACAGGAGAGATGTTGCAAAGCTGGGGTTCCCTGCCCCAGATCCTCTGCCTCATGACTGTCCCCTCCTGAACTTGGCTCCGCAGAAAGAATCCAGCTGACCCTAGAACTGTGTTCAACTCTGCACCATTACTCATCTGCACCATTGGATATCAGAGGTATATTGAGGCTGTGGGTGCAGATCTAGGCTCCCTTCCATATACATTGGCCAGCATCCCACATTCTAATATGTCTCCTTTAGTACAGACCAGAGCCCTTCTCTGTATCACAACTATGTCACATCACTTCCTGTTATACCTTTTGCCTGTCTCACATTTCAGATCTGAATCCCTCCATCCTCTTGCTACTGCCTTGCTTTCTTGGCCTATGATCTTATCTACTCTGATAAGCTAGGTGGGTCATGCAGGACCAGGTCTTCAATGAGAACCTCCAGAGAAAGCACAAGTAATTGAGAGGGAGGATTTGGGGACCCTGTCTGGCATTCTTCTAGGTCACTATTGAACCAGTGCCCTAGCTTGGTGACAGGGGCATTGTGCTGTTGTCAAGCAAATGGATTAATTGAGGTCCTAACTACATGTGGTCATTAAAGATCCAAAGGCACTTTCTGCAAAACAAGGGTGCAGATGTTATTTCTAATATCTATGCCAAATTTCAATTTAGTGGCCCATCTAAAACACTACCCTCAGTGTCATGCACTTTCGGATAAATCTCGTGTTCTTAAATTCATATTCTAAACTGCTATATAGTGCCACTTCATGCACCCTACTACAGGTGGCTACATTACACTGATTGTCAAAATGATCCTTGCATGGCATTTGTAAAACATCTGCCTGGATTGAAACCACAACCTAAATATGAGATGATTATTCCTGTACCTCTTATCCTTCAGAGGTACAGGCTCAAATTCTGTTCTGTTCTACAGAGACTTGCTGTTACCACTGCACGCAGTTTGTATTAGAACTATTCTTGAATAGGGTGAATGCTGAAAAATATTTTTGCTGACTGCCAACATTGATTTTATCCATATGCCTTTAAATGTTACCTTTTAACTCTTACTGTAGTAAGTGATTTAATATGATGAATACTTACTAGAACAGCATATTCTATTGTTGCAAAATATTCATGTAAACTAAATTTCAGATGTATATTGACACTGGAAACCTAATTTTAAGAATTATGTTCATCCAGGTAGGAAACAGAAACTTACCATGGGCACATCACATTGTCTCTCCAATCCAAAGAACTTCAGACCACGGGTTACTGGCAGAAATTACTTGGTCAGTGATTCTGAATAAGTTCAGGAAAAGTTGTAGTCTGTCAGAGAGAGAAAAAGAGCTGACAAAAGTAAATAATACATTGTTGAAAAGCAGGATAAACGTTTCAACAACACCCATTTTGTCTCTCTGAACTGAAAATTCTGGTAAAAATTTGAAAAAATCCAAAATAAGGAAAAAATTCAGGAAAGAGTCAAAATATTTTCCCTCCATTTTCTTCTTCATCAGCATTGAAGCAAAAATTGTCAAAAATATAAACATTCAAAAAGTGTAGGCCAGATTTTTACAGTGACTTAATATGAATGACTTTGACCAGCTCTGATGCTATCTAAAGTATAAACCTTATTCTGTCTCCATTTTGCCCAGATTAGTGAAGGGAAAAAGGGTAAATGAGCAGAAAAGTGACTTAGGGCCTGATTAGATACAAATTCAAAAGGGCTAACGGTGACTGGAGGAACCTAAAGAGGCAGCAGTAGTTTCTAGGAAGAAGAAGGGCATGAGGAAGGGAAAAGAGAATCGGAAGGTTGGTTGGAAGAGTCCAGAGTCTTTGATTGGTACCAATGCTGCAGAACTGAAAATACATGCTTCTGGGAGTCCTCTCATGAATAGGTGACTTGTTTCCCATACACAAAGCATATAAATTCACCATAAACTGAGAGTTACGGTAGCCAGAATTGCAGTTTGAACATGGACATGCTTTAGAACGAGACAAAACTTCACAGTGCAGGGAATTGGGAGTGGTGCATTGCATTTCAATTTACTGTGAGTAGTTTCCACTGTATTACCAAAACCTACCTCTCTTCAATGTAATGTGATGAACAAGGGGGCAGGGCTAGTTTGTGGGGAAGCAGCATAATTTTCAGGGATTTTGACTTTAACATAGCACTAGTTATTTCCTTTTCAGTTCTGAAGAAATTAAGCAGCAGTTTCTAGCCCTGCTGTTACCAGCTGAAGAAGCCCTGAGCTCTCCCTGTACCTGCTGAAAAACAGCTTCCTGTTCAACTGCATTCAAAGCAATTGGAAAAAGATGGTGTTGGATTTTCAATACAGCTAGCGCTTCCTCCTGTACCTTTTCAACAAGGCCAGCAAAGAGGCTACTTCTCTTCTACTGTTTGGCACTCAGCTCACTGTATCTGAAACCACTCAGAACCATATCCTTGTTTCAACCCCATCAGTACCAGAAAAACAGGGTCTCTAGCCTGATGCTAGGAGCCTCCAGGGCAGCTATGATGAGCCTCTGTTCTCACTTAGACCACTACAGTTGATTGTAGATGAGTCCTCTGGATAAACACGAAGATCAGTTTTTGCCATTTACTGAAAATCAATTGTTCCTTTTTAACCAGAAGAAATCTCCAATCCTGAGAAATATCCAACCTGGGAATCTGGGATCGGAATTTACTATGAGGGAGACTGGCCTGTTTTCATGAGATTTCTACTCCGTTCAGCAAAAACTGACTCAGAATATACTTCCCAGTTTCTGTGAGGTGTATTGGGGGAATATTACCTACTGATTGTTTGTCCTGCATGTTAAAGCTGCAGTTTGAAACTGGGTAATAGTAAGGGATAGTTTCAAGCTGGTTTACTGAAGCTGCATTATATATATATATATA